AGCATTTTCTTACTTGTTGTTTTTTCAATATTTTACATATTTAAAACAGGTGTTATACACTCACCAAAAGATGAAAAAATCAAAAACATGGCAAGACGGAATTCTGAGGGTTAGAACTGGCAGAAATCAGGTGAACATTCAGATTTAAGACTGTTGGATTTAATATCATCTACTGCTGCCAGTGGCAGTCTAGCTGATTAGTGAAATAAATGGTTATTTTAAGTTGTTTTTTTTTTTTATTTTGCAGGCTACCTTGTTTGATGATAAAGGACAATGTCTAGAGAGTATCTTTATAAGATCTCAGGTATCTTTTGTTCAGAGTTGTTATTTATATATCTGATTGTAGTTTGTCTTTCAGGCAGCATTTCAAACACGTTTGGTAGCCAAAGAGTCATTTTTCTTCTTGTTGATATGAAACTCTGTTACAATGAAAATAATGAAAAGGGAAAACAGCTTCTGTTTATTAATGGATCTTACTGTTTGTCCAGAAGGTTTCATGGAATTTTTCTTCCTTTGTGGTAAAAGCAGTGTATTACAGTGATATATGAAATAATAATTGAATCTAAGTGCTAATGCTTTTTACTATATATGTATAAATAAAAATATTTTATGGCATCTGTGGTATAATAGGTGTAAGTACCTGAATTATTTACATATAAGTACTTAAAATACTGCATTTTTAAAAATAAAGCTATATAATATTGTTTCTTATACAGTACTGTTCTGTACACACTGCTTCTCTCTCTTTTCCAGGTGTCTCCTGGAGATGATTTTGAAAGTGAGCGATATTTAATCACAGTTGAAGCAGTCAAAGGGAGTGAAAAGCCCTCTGAAGAGCAGCCAAAGAAAGCAGAAACTCCACCAGTGGATAGAAATGGTGTAAAACCTGGTCTTCTACCCCCAAGACATCTCCCTGTTGGCTTGAAAAGGAAGTTTACGGTGTGTTTTTGTTCTAAATTTTTATGTCTCATGTTTACATGCAGTGTAAAACACAAGGGAAACATATTTTCATGAATGGTAAATATATAAACATAAGAACCATTTCTTCCTGCTTTTTTTTTTTTTTTCCATGTAATCCAGACTGTGTTTTTTCCACATTTAGGAAATTTGGTTTAGCAGGATTGATGTTGCCTAGAGTAAAAATCACAAGGGCTCGAGGTTGTTTCTATGCACCTGTGGAATCCTCATGTGGATTTGATCAGAATATATTTTCAGGCCATTTGATCAGAATGTAGTCCATGGAGTGTGCCCCATTTTCATCATCTGATTACAAAATGTGGATTAATTGAAAGTTTCTCTCCCAGGGGTTCCAAGGACCACGCCAAGTTGAGAAGAAAATACCAGCTGTGGAAGATGAAGGAAAACCAACAGTGTTGCCTTCAGCTGAGTGCCAAGGGAGTTTTCCATCCAAGTTTTATATCAGCTCTCCGTTGTTTTCTACGATTCGCAAGAAGGATGCAGAAACAAATCCCTCTGCAGGCAGTCAGGAAGAGGGATGTAGGGACAATGGCAGAGAGCAAATGTCTGTGTCCTCACTGCTTTCAGCTCCCTTTAGTGACAGCTGTGAGGGGACAGAGAAGCAAAACTCGCATCAGTTGGTTGTGAAGCCGGAATCGCCTCTCCTTACTGGGCACACCGGTCCCGGGGCAGTGTCCCACCACATCAGGAGCACAGCACAGATAATTGCTCTTCTGAAGTCTAAACCAGCACAAGGACACAGAGAGCAAACATCTGGAGTCACAGGCTGCCTTTCCAGGTTTCAGGCAGCAGAAAGTGCAGGTTTATGTGACAAAAAATGCCCTGTCCCACCTGTTTTTTCAGGCGAACCTGCCGAAGGACTCGTTCCAGATACTCAGCACCTGCCTTTTGTGCAGGGAACTGTAAATGATACAAAGGACTGGGATGCTCAAACACTTCCAAATTCAGCTGAACAACCTCGTGGTGAAGAAGTCACAGGACAGAGACAAGACAAAAAGGTAAATAATTTAAGTCAAGATTTACAAGATCACTGCGACACAAATAGTTACTTTCTACCTGAGTCCACTGTAAGTAGAATGAGTGACAGTCAGTTTGTCCCATCCTCAGGTGACATTTCACCTTCAGCAAGTCCAACTGCCTTTGAAAACAATCCCTTTGGATACAGGGAGCATTCAGGGACTGACAGTCTTAGGGAGGATTTCTCTGTGAAGATGCAGAGTGAGCTTCATCCAAAACAGAATTCAGAGGGAGTGTCTAGTGACCCGGAGCTCTCTGGGGATGTGACATTGACTGAAGCTGGAATTGTGAAGGAGGAGTTCAGTTTGCAGGGCACAGGATGTAGTCCTGACGGGGAACTGATGGAGATTAACTTTAACCTAATGGAGACTTTTGATTTTAATGACATAGACAACGAAGAGGTGTGTGAGAGAGAAGGGAAGGAATTCTCTGATGGAGACACGCCTTCATGGAGCCCAGGTAGCTTCCAGGGAGAAGATGTAGCACAAGGTGCTGCCTTGAGCCCTCATTTGAAGCCTCATTCTTGCTGTGAAGCAGAGACACACAGCAAAAATGAAGTCAAATGTTCAAAATCTGATGGAGAGGGGAGTACACCACCCCAGCTTTGTGACAGTGATGCCAGGAGAACTGCAGAAGATGCTGCAAACCAGACCAGAACCAAAGTGGAACTTGTAGGTGATGGACACAACATGAAAGAGATCAGTGAGAGTCAATCAAGTTTTGAAGGCACAAACAAAGAGGAGGATCTGGATGGCTGTGCAGCACTCACCATTAATGGCACATGCTGGGTAAAAAACCAGCATTCTGATCTCTTGCCTGGTCACACCAGTGCTCATGAATGTCACCCTGAAACCAGGCTGTTTGAGGCCACTGGAAGTCTTCCAGCTCTTTCTCCCAGCAGAATAATTTCTGCCTTGGACAAAAAGACTGAGGAAGGAGTTACACAGCTTGGATGCATGGAATCCCCAGATATTGGCCCAGAGCACTTCTGGGCTTCTAAGAGTGATCACATGAAACTAGGCAGCCCTCTGCTGGCTTTGTCACAGAAATCAGATCCTTTAGGAACAGGTTATTCATCTCCAGGGGAAACAGCAGTAGGAGGAACTGTGTTGGAAAATGCAGAGAACATAACTGCTTCTCCTGAGGCTTGCCAGGGAGAAACAATGGGGGTGGATTGCCTGAAATGCACAGCAGTGGCTGAGAATTCCTCAGGACTCCCTGCTTTGGTGAATGATATTGCTCTTCTGAGAGCTTTGACTCAGCATAGCACAGCATTAGAGAGCTTGCAAAAGATGGAGGAAAATACCAGCATGTTCTGTGAAACAGACACTGAGGAGACACTTGAACCCCTTGAGAAGGATGAAGGTTAGGTCAGCTTCTATTTCAAACTGGATTCTGTATGTCTGTACCTGTTTGATTTCTCTCATTTCTCCTCACATTTAGAAATACTTTTAGAGTGATGTGTTATGTAGGCTCCCTCATGCAATTTTTACTGTTTAAAGCAACATTGTGACCTCCAAGCCTGTCTTTGTTTGCTCTTATTCAGTTAAGTGCTAACTGTGCAACTTGTTGGATGGGTAAGGTTTGCAAGACCTGTAAATATTCAAATGTTTTAATGTAAAAAAAACCCAGACAACTGACTGTAACTCACTGTGCTTTTCCATCTCTTGTAGCTATAAAAGAGTTTACAGAAATGCCTTACTCAGAAAGTTTACAGGCATCTTCCTGTTCATACTTTGATTCTCCTGGCCTTATGGTAACCCATTTTTGACTACATATATTTATCTGTACAAGATAAATTAATTTTCCACCTGGCTCCTGGAATAAAATTCTTGGTTTATGGAACCGTAGAGGTTGAGATCGCTTAGAGGCATTGTTTATGAAGCTGGTAATAAATAGAGGATGCCATATTGACAATATTCAGGAGGCCTCATGTATGACAAGAAACTTAATGAAAAGTGTAGTATTTAGTAATGTTTAATATCCCATTAATATGTGTTGTACTTCTCCTTCCCTACCCCATCTTTTACCACCTTTTTTTTTTCCATTATCTTTTTACATACATGGCTTTCTTTGCAATTTTAGCATTTGGGTTGAAATACATTGGGAAAAGTGTTTATATTTGATAATTCACATTGATTTTTATCCAATGCTATTAACAGCCTTTTTTGTTTTTCAATCCATCTAAAGCTTAAAGAAACATTTTTGAAATCCTTCCCTTTTTCCTGTTCTGTTTAAAAAGCCAATGTAGTTTCTCATCCTGTCATGGATGGTCCTGGCTCCCAAATAAAAAAGCTGTAACTGAAGAGGCTTCCTTTGTATAAATACAAGACATTTCTTAGCCTAAATTTTCACTTTAAATGTTTATTAAATTGTTAGACTAACTAGGTTTTGATACTTTCCTGTGCAGCCCAACTGTGTGGACAATTTATTCCAGAAGACAGAGGCATATATTGGACCAATAGCAGCAGCCCAAAGGGGCCCTGAGACATCTGACTGGCAACCAAAGGTACCATTTCTGTGGAGCTCAAGTATAATTAACAGTCTTTCCTAAATTTCAGTTCAATTGTTTGCTGATTGTAATATATTTCACTAAGTCCTAATCCAATTTTAACCTGTTCTCGTAATTTTTCGTACAGTTCACTGCAGGAAGTTTTCCAGGAGAGTTTTAAATTCAAATTACAAGGAAAAAAAAAATCTCACATTTTCTTTGTTTCTCTTCTGCAGAGTCAACAGGTTATTTTTGTTGTATGTGTAAAAAGTACCTGCATTGACTGTAGATAGTTGCAGAGCAGTTTTTACTTGCTGGTAGTGATAATTCCAATGCATTGTGCAGCCTGTTGCCTTCCAAGGGTACCAAGTGAAAGGATCAGCAGCTAGTGAGGTCATGTTGAGAGCTCCATGCTCCCAGCTAGGATGGCAGCAGCTCCCAGAGAACTTGGATTTTGCAGCTGAGATTTTTTTCTCACCCCTCTTTTCAAGGAATTATGACTTTTATGACTTCAGACAGGTAAAACGTTTTTTGTATTCAGTTATCCATACTAACCTTAGTGCAAGAAAGTGTCCTGTCAATTTAGGATAGGAAATAGTTCATTTTAAAACTGCTACAATCATATCAAAACATATTCTTTTTACTTACCTTTGTCATAGAACTTCGTAATGTGTGACTTGGTTTTTTCTGCTCCTTTGATCGGTTGCACTTGGAAAAAAGAAGATAAACAGTTTAATTTCTAACAAGTTTTCCCTTATGCTTTTGTTTTAAATAAAGTCTCCAAGCTCCAGGAGTCTTCATAAGGATGATGTTGATGTTATCAGAGAAGGGAATTTTCAAATGAAGCCTGATGTTATTGAAGAGCCAGGAATAAATCAGTCCTGTAAGTGAAAGTAAAGGGAGAAGGGCAGTGATAGGCCTCAAAATTTCTGCATGACTTCAGTGCTTCATGTGTTTTTCCTAGCACTGGCATTGGATGTGCCACTGAGGACAATGTCACACCCACCCTCTGACCTGAGACAAGCACAGTGGGCTGCCTGGGAACCTAGCAAGGTGGGGATTGACTGGCTCTTGCAGATATTTTTGGCTTTATTTCCTTTGTGTTTGTGGCAATTTCTTCTTTTTGAAGCTGTTTATCTCAGCTCTGAGAGACATTTAAATTGTTTAGAATGATGACAGAGAGAACAGTGACAGAGCTGTAAGCAGGGTTTTTTCCAGTCATTCACCTGCCATGTTAATTCTTCACCTGTAGATTTCATCAGTGCTGACTTCCCCACTTGATCCAGACTCTGCAATTTCTCCACCTTGGGGAAGTGAAGAGACTGTTGGAGACATCCAGGAGCCCCTGACACATGGGATCTTATCAAGTGAACCAGAACTTCCAGATTTCTTGTTGAGTAAGAATTTACAGATTTATACTGGCACCTCACAGTGTTTTTAGCTGAAAAATCTCTGAGGGTGCTCGAAGCACATTGATTTGGGATATTATAGACAGTTGCTCTGCCAGTTATATTCTCCTGTAGTTATTCTCCTGAAACAGAGTAGAGGGATTTAAATAAAGAAAAATCAGCTTCTAGTTTGGGGGCAAAAAGGCTGTAAGCTAAGCTTCTAAATGATACCTATGTTTTTATTTACCTGCTTTAAGTTTTCGTCCATATTCAGCTGTCCTCTGACCCTCTCCCATTTGACATCTCTCTGTAACTGTTACTAATGATAATTAATTTAGCCAAAAGGATGCTTTTTGGTAGTAAGAGCTTATTTTTCTGCCTTTTTTAATATTAATTCATAGGTTTGTGGGTTATCTTTTGGAAAAAGAGCAGCAAATGTTAAACTGGGTGTTTTCTAGTTGGAAGCTGACAGTGACATCAGATTAATGACCTCCAAAATATAACCATGTTTAAATAATGGGCTTTTATACAAGCAGAGGGGCTTCATAATGTGTTCTGAATATGGAGAGTTCAAACAAATTTTTAAAATTTTAATTTCAAATAAATTTTAAAAAAATTAAAAGAATCCACAAAATCCATGATTTAGTATAATACTGCACAGGAACATTCCAGAGAGCTTCCCAGTTAGAAAACAGGGTGTAAAAGGAAGAATTTCGAGTTCCTTCCTTTTGGCACATCTGCAGTGCCATCCCTAGGTGCTCCAGGTTGCCTGTAAGCTGTATTTGCCCCACAGCCCGGGAGAAATCCAGCTGTCCACGGGAATGCAGCCTCCCAGCGTTCACGCCCACGATGAAAACACAGACTCCATTTGTCACTCGGACTCCCTTTGTCACTCTTCCTGCCACCCACGAGATTCCTGACACCTTTTACCCCACTGAGAGCCAGGAGGTGCAGCAGTCTTTGGGCTCTTCTGGAGGCAATTTGTGGAGCGAGTCAGTGGCATTTCCTAGGAGTGCTCCCGGCCCCCAGGACAGGAATTATGAAACCTCCGTGTTTGGGGAGAACATGGAAGATGGACAAAGGGGATCTGTGCCACCAGCGCTCCCTAATGTGACTGCCCAACCCAGACAAAGCAAGTGGCTGAAGTATCAAAGCAGCGCTCAGAGTGATTTGATCCCTGAAAACAGCGCTGAAGGGGAAGAGAATGATGACATCTGTGTCCAGAGTGTCCTTGGAATGCCGCTGGGTGACACAGGAGAGGGCAGCACCGGGAATGCAAGTCTGCTGCCAGCCAGGAGCTCGCCTGGGGAACGCTCCGGGGCTGCAGATCCAGTTTCAGAGGGGAAGGTGCTTTCCCTGCACTTAGGGCAGACACCTCTGGCTGCGGCCACACAAAAGGTGTTGAGTCACCTGAGCTGCACCACCGGAACAGGAGACTGCCAGGTGTGTGTAACTGTTCAGGCAAACACTGCCACTAACTCACTGCTCTGGCCAAAGGGGCTGCATTTATCTCATTTCCTGCAGATATTATCACTGTGATTGGATGAAATGTTTCTACCTACTAGTGACACCAAAAATGTATTTTTTTAAGTGCCATGACTAATCCTTTGTAAAGGTAATTCCTTGGCAAGCACAGTGCTAGATTTAGATTTTTAATCTGAATGTTGATGGCAGGAAGATGAAAGAAAATCTGCTGGGCTGTTTTGACATGTGTAATTATTAAGAAATTGTGTGCACCACTTTTCTTAATTGTGGTATCAGCATCATTTTAATCAACATGTGTTTTTGCTTCAAGGCATAGTCTCTTGACTTCAAAATACTATAAATTGCTTCAGTTCTAATTGTGTAAAAGCCAAGTTATGGCCCTGAATAAGCGTCTAAAAATTTAGCACAGGTGTTTGTGATCACTAGGCAGATGGAGTAAATTGGGGAGAAGCACCAAACCAACCACAAGTTAGGTTTTTAAAGCTGTCAAATGGTTTTGAGAGTTGAAGGAAATGTTAACTCTTTGGGGTTCTTTTTAAGTTTTTCGGTTCTTTAAAACGGTCCAGTACAGTATTTGTGTGAAATAGAGGTGAGGAAATAAGTAATATATTTCATATATACATTGATAAATATATTGTGTGCATTTTTATAAAATATATTATATATATGTAAAATCCATGTATACAAGACTTAAAAAGCTTATCAAGACAGTTGTAATTAATTTATTTCTGTGCCAAAATGGTGTTTAAAATGGGGTTTGTGTGCTCCTTCCCCACGCCTAGTGGTAAAAACATGATTTTGAACTATGTAATTTACTCTAAAGCCTTTAGAAGTATTATCTATGTTATTATAAACACAGGCTGTTTGGCAAGGAGTTTAACCTCATGGTGCATCCTAACTGGCAGCCCAAGCTCTAGGGAAATGTATTTTCACACATCTGCAAAATTAGTCTCATTCAAAGTCCTACAGTTTTTAATGGTTGATTTTCCTGGGTCTTTTTAGGACATAACAATTTCTGAGTTGTCTTTTCCTCCTGTGGATAAAGTGAAACATGCCAATCTTCCTAAAAGAAAGATTTCCATCCCAGCTGTGTTTCAGTCTCATATTCACTACAAGCAGGTTTTTAAAGCTGCTCTGACAGGTAAATCTCTGCTCTGTGAAATGCTGTCAATTTAAACATTGCCTATTAAAACAACAGGGTGCATTTCATTTTTTCATATATCTACTAAAGAAATATATTCAGTCTATACCCAAAATTGCAAAGACAAACCAAAAAGACAGTACACTTCTGTTCAACTGTGTAACTGTTCAACTCAGGGCTGTTTCCAGTCTTAAGATACCAAAGCCTTTTTTTTTTTCCCCCTGGAATAAGTGGATTTTTCAGGTCACATGGTTTCTTTTAGGACTCTGATTAAAGATTTTTATTTGGGATGGAAATCTTCCAATGGAAATAGATTTGTTTTAATGGTGTGTAGCTATGTAAGCATTTCAAGGGTGTGCTAATGATTCTGTTCTTCTCCTTTCCCCACCAAGAGCAATTGAACATAATGCTGTTTGAGCTGGCACAGAGACTGCACAATGCCCTCTCCAAAGTGGATATATCATTTTACACTGCAGTGAAAGATGGGCAAAGCCAGAGTCAGGGAAGCTGTGCTCCACTCTGCAATCACATGCACCCTGCTAAGCTGGCGATGGTTAAAAAAGAAGGTCAAAACAAGGTGCTCTATTCCTTGTGGTTTTACACTTTTGGGGTGAAAGTATCCATTGCTTTCTCTTTTTTTCTTGCTTGTTTTAGTGCTCATGGACTTTTTTTCCCCTCCTTTCCCTTGCAGGGCCGTTTGTTCTATGCCTGTGATGCCCCAAAAGCTGAGCAGTGCTCCTTTTTTAAGTGGATTGAAGATGTGAACCCCACACAGACAAAATCCAGACCCAGCGCAGTGCTGCACGACACAAAAAGTATTGGGACATACCTCAGGAGTCAAAAGATTGCTGTCTATGAGGAATGCCAGCTTTTGGTGAGGTATCCTGAAATGCTGTGTGAATTCGAGGTTTATAAATACTCCAGTCGCTCCGGCTTTCAGCAGGATTTAACACGTTTTCTCTATATTTAAAGAGTAAATGTTTCTTTCTGTAAAGAAATGCAAGAGCTAAATTAGTGAAGGAAAAATATTTATAGCAATGGTATTTCTTTTTAGCAAGAATCACAACTGCTGACCAGCAACTTGATCAATTGCCTAATGTCAGAACTGTTGCATTTGAATTACTGTTCATTTAATCTTCAGTAGGAGAATTTGATTTATTCTCTTCAAGATTCTTATTTTAATGCCAGAAGTTACCTCAAAGGCTATTCTGTTACGTTTAACTGTAGGGGAAACAACTGAGGCTGAATATGAGGGAATTTTGCAGTCAAGATAAATCTATTTAAAATTTGTTAATATCAGATGATGTACACCTGCTTGGTCCAGTCTATGGAGGTTTCTTATTTTTGGTGCTGAATCCAAAATGTGCCAATGGTTTACATTATTTTTTAATTACAATTTCCCAGGAAAGCCTTTGAAATTCCAGCACAGCGGTACAGTAAGTTCAAGAAATTTATGAATACACCTGCCAGCTTTGATGGTGACTCCAAACCCAAACTGTACCTGAAACTAAGCAGAAAGGAGCATTCTTCTCTCTACAGCAAAGGTGAGCACATCTTACACATCAGATTTAAAAGGGGGCAGTGGGAGAAGCTTATGAGGACTGTATTTTTTTTGGCAGATGACATCTGGGTTGTTTCCAAGACTCTGAACTTTGATCCCATCGATACTTTCATCGCAAGCAGTGCTTTCTTTGGACCATCCTCCAACAATGAAATAGAATTGCTACCACTGAAAGGCTACAGTCCCTCCAACTGGAGATCCAACAGTGAGTTCCACAGCAGCATTCAGAACTGTGGGAAACAGCTAAGGACAAAGCCAGCCAGCAATGAAGGATGAGTTTGGAATTTCTCAGACCTTACACTTGATTTAATTCACAGTACTTTTTTTCCTTGTATGTTGGAATACATAATTTGAATACAGTAATTAACGCAATTAAACCTGCAAAGTCACTGGCAAATTCCAAATGAGGGGGAAGAAATGAGTATAATATGAAGAAAGCAGTAAATTATGTAATATGGTATACAATGTAAGTTGATTGTCAGAGTGTAAGAAAAGGAATATGTTTTTACTGTCCTTGAAAAACAAAATGCAGAAACCTTAAACAACTCACTGGAAAATTTATATTTATATAAAAAGCCATGTATTAAGTCTGTGATTCTGCAAAAGTTTCTTGGTTTTGATGTTGAATTACGTTGAAGCTTTGGGGTTGTTTTGTGTTGTAAATGAAGAAGATAAAATCAGTTAATTACTCTTCTGGCTTTTTATAATTCATTTATTTAGCTGATTTGAAATTTCTGTTCTATTCATTTCTTTCTTCTTTTCTTTTTCTGTGGCCCTTCCAGTGTGTGTTCACGCCTTGCTGGTTTGTAATGCCAGTGGTGAGCTGGCATCCTTAAGGAACATGGAGGAGCACTTCAATCCATCCACATTACCACTGATCCCATATCTCCTGAAAATGTGAGTTACTGTCCTGTGATACTGTGGTCAGTCCAGTGCAGGAATATCAGAACCAGGAGATACAAACTCTATGATATCACAACTTTTGGCTATTTTTTGTTTCTTTAGGAATTTTAATTCTGAAAATACTACAAAAAGAGTCAACAAAAGGAAATTTACTCCACCTGCCATGAGCCTGAAATGCTCAATGATGTCTGGCCCTGTGAGCTCTGAAGTGGCAATGGGAGTGGCTGAAGAGATGATCCAGAGGTTCTCCCTGAACCCAGATCAAGCAGCATCACTCATTCACGTAGCTCAGATGATGGCCTGTGAAAATCCCAAACCAGGGGAGGAACATCAGAGCTGCCCCATCACAATCATACGTGGTACACTGCCAAGAATTGTGACATTTGCTGCTATTCTGTCTTTACACAAATGGTGGTTAATGGGATATGCCATTAATATGAAATGGCAGAATCAGCCCCTCTGATAATGTCTTGACATTAAAACATCCATTCTGTCAGCATAGAGCTTTTGCCCCTTTAAATTGAAATTAAATTTGAATTAAATTAAATTTTCATTTTGCCTTTTGCAGGATTTCAGTGAAGCATAGGAGGTTTTGCCTAGAAATACCTATACACAGAATTGGAGTTATTTAGTGTCTTCAGCTTGTTTCATATTAAAACCACTTTTTATCTTGTATTAGCTTTGTTTTTCTAGGAAAATCTTACTTATAACTTGGGCTTTTTCTTCCAAAATACCAGGTGTTTTTGGAGCTGGCAAGAGCTACTTGCTGTCTGTGGTGATCTTGTTCCTTGTGCAGCTCTTTGAAAGCAGTGAAGCTACGGAGGGTCCGAGGGCAACTCCATGGAAACTCCTCATTGCTTCTTCCACCAACGTTGCTGTGGACAGGATACTGCTGAGGTGGGTTGCTGATGCTTTTATGGACTCTTCTTCCAAAACCAATAATGCACTTACATTGTGGTGGTAATTGTGTTGGCATTTCCTGTAAAACACGTCAAAAAGATTGATTTCTTTCCCTAAAATGTGCCACACCACAGGCTTTAATTTTACCTCAGGTCTTTTGCACAGTTAAAAGAGTGAAAGCTACATAAAACATTTACAGAAGACTACTTTAGGCCCTGCTCTCATCAAATATACTATTAAAATCCATCATGACCAAGTAGTACTGCTCAGGAATCTTTGGAATGTAGTAGGAGGGGAAGGAGGAGCAGAGAGAATCAGATTTATGAAAATTTAGCATGAAATAAATGCATGGTTTGGAAGGAAAGATACACATGGAAGACTATGACAGGGGAATCATCAAGGCATTAAGCATTTTTGAGGCAAATCATGATGAGGTAATTTATTTTGATTTTGTTGAATTACTGAGGTACTGCATCTTATTAATCACGCAAGTTTGTGTTCCTCAGTGTTCTGCTGTGTCTTCTGAAACCACTTTTTAAGTTTTCAATATTTCTTTTTTCCATTTCTGTAATGTTTATCATCTCTTTTTTTTTCAAGTCTGCTCGATCTTGGATTTGAGGATTTTATAAGAGTGGGAAGTATAAGGAAAATCACGAAAGCAATTCTTCCCCATAGGTAAGAAACCTCTTTGAGGGATCTGAAGCAATTTGGGGTAGGTTAATACATTGTTGTAAATTACTGTTATTTATAAAGTATGGTTATTTTTCCAAGCACTGCTATTTTCAGTTACTGTAATCTATGTTACAAAATCTTTGAAGTTTACATGCAGGCTCAGGAAATGAAAATGAGCAGCTGAAAGAGCTGCTTGCTCTCCTGAAAGAAGATTTGACTCCAGCTGAGAAACTATATGTCAGGAAGAGCATTGAGCAGCATAAACTGGGGACCAATAAAACTATTCTGCAACAGGTACAGTCAAAGAGATGGGATGGGAAAGCATGGATTTGCTGTGTCTTATCCACAGGGCCCAGCAAATGTGAAGTGGGAATCCCCTCTCACACCTGCCAAGCTCCTGGTTTTAAAATATAAAGTGAATGTTAGGTTTGATTGCACAGGTATAGCTTAGTGTCCTGTTTCTAAAAATAAATTTATGTGTATTCTCCTGCTATAGTTAGGTGCTGCACAGAGATGAACTGTGAAATGACCTTAACTTTTTGCCTGCCCGTTTTCTCCTCGCTGCTGGAAGGTGAAAGTGGTCGGAGTGACGTGTGCTGCCTGCCCCTTCCCTTGCCTGAATGCGCTCAGGTTTCCTGTGGTGATGCTGGATGAGTGCAGCCAGATGACTGAACCTGCTTCTCTCCTCCCCATCGCCAGGTACAGCCTTCCTGAGGGGCCTCAGCAGGGACACCAGCTCCAAGTGGTGCCAGACTCCACACCTCTGTGAGCACATGAACCCTGAGGCCTCACCTTAGCGAGCGAGAAGAGGTGTTTTCAATTGAGGCCTGTCCTAGGGTGTTATTAAACTGGGGTGGAGAAGGGAGGCTGATGGAAAGCAGTGATACAGAAACACAGCTTTGGTTGTGAACGCTTTAACATGCTTTTTAGAACACTGTTTTTTTCCACATTCTTTTTTAGGTTTCAGTGTGAAAAGCTTGTCCTTGTTGGAGACCCCAAGCAACTGCCACCAACTATTCAAGGGTCTGAGAGTGTTCATGGGCAGGGATTGGAGCAGACTCTCTTTGACCGGCTCTGCTTAATGGTAGGTGCTGCTGAACAGACGTTTGGAAAAGGTGGAGAGTGGAATTGCAAGTCCCCTGAAGTCACTAGGGGAATTCTGGTTCAGGTGTCAGAGGATCAGGGTTTCAGCATTGCAAAATACCATAAAATCACAGAATGGTTTGGGTTGGAAGGGACCTCCAAGGTCACCTAATCCAACCCCCCACCACAGACACGGACACCTTCCCACTAACCAGGTTCTTCTGAGCTCTATCTTCATGAGCTCTTCCCAGCCCTCATCTCTCTGTCCTCATTCTTTAGGGACATGTCCCCATTCTTCTCCGGACACAGTACCGCTGTCACCCTGCCCTCAGTGCCATCGCCAACGAGCTCTTCTACGATGGGAACCTCATTGATGGCATTTCTGAGGAGGACAGGGCTCCTCTATTGGAATGGCTCCCAACACTCTGCTTTTACAGTGTTCATGGCATGGAGCAAGTGAGTTCCTCAACACTTCTTATATAACAAGTCAATATTGTTGGTTTTCCTCCATTCCTTTTTGTGTTGTTGGTGAGAGCTAATTTGGGAATCTTTTTCCCTCTTCCCAGGTTGAAAGAGACAACAGCTTTTATAACATGGCAGAAGCTCATTTTACAGTCAAGCTCATCCAGTCTCTGATTGCAAGTGGAATAGAAGGAGCCGATATTGGCGTGATTACCCTTTATAAATCACAAATGTATAAGGTTTGTATCACAAATCAATAACAAAAATCAATAAAGCCATTTTCTTAAATGTACGCTGAGTAGCCCAACTCATCCCGCTTCCTATTTCTTTGCCCCCAGATCCAGAATTTACTCAGTGGGGTTCACTCCGAGGCTTTTGAAGTCAAGCCTGTCCAGGTGTCCACGGTGGATGCGTTCCAAGGGGCTGAGAGGGAAATCATTGTGCTGTCCTGTGTCAGGACAAGGCACTTGGGGTTCATAGACTCGGAGAAGAGGATGAACGTGGCACTAACGAGGGCAAAGAGGCACCTGCTGATTGTGGGAAGTCTGCCCTGTCTGAGCAGGAACAGGCTGTGGGGAAGAGTAATTCACCACTGCAGAGGTAAGAGTTTCTTTGCTGAGGTTTTTGAAACCTTGCACCTCATTATCTTTAATTAGACTATATATAATACACCGTATAGTGTTTATATACTGTATAATAACATATAAAATATATGGTATGTCCATTAGAACAACCACTATATTCATAACATATAAACTCCAATGTTTCGTATTACACAGAAAATCTAATATATTGCAAGAATGTGCAAGTTGCACATTTGCAGTTTTACCTGCAAACTCTTTTTATGTTCAAAGGGGTTTTTTGAATCTAGTAATGGAACTTTACCTGCTTGGCTGACATCCAAGAAAGCATCTTGTTGGTGACAGAACTCCACAGAGCCATTTTCCAAGCAGAACTATCACAGCCAGTCAATACCCTTGGGGAAATAGATGTTGGCATTGCCAAGGGCTGGTTCCATGATGGGTGCTGTAGAGAGAGATGTAATTATCCTGTTTATTGCTGCTTTTAGGATGGGAAAATGGCTTTCAACATGCAAGCCAGTGTGAGCAGCAGCTGAATGATATTCTCAAGTCTTACTTGGAGAACTGGGAGGAAGAAGAACAGCGTAAGAAAAAGGACAAGTAAAATATGTATTGATTTTATGAACAGAATATTAACTGCTTTTCTATAGCAATAGCTCTGGTAATTTGTAATATAGTATTTATTTAATGTGTGGGGTATTTTTGTTTGGACCTCAGTGCACTGATACTTCTGTTTGACCTTGTGGTCATAAGACTAAAAATTATTAAAGTGACTTTATTTGGTTGATAACCATAAATAGAGTGACTTTTTCTGCTTGAGCAGTGATATCCTTTTATGCTTACAGTGTAGTTAATGATCCTGGTGGTATTTCATTGTTCTTCAGATTAAAACACCGTGGTATTTTAGGACAATTCTGTCACCTTCCATATTTACAGGTAGGTCACATGCAGGAAGGAGCTTGGCTGTAACAATTAAAAGGCCCCTTCCACAGCTTTTGGGAAAACCTTAAGAACCATCCAGGGCCTATGAGGGCTCCAAGAGAGCTGCAGAGACACTTGTCACAAGGGCACGGAGTGACAGGACAAGGAAGAATGTCTTCAAATGCCAGAGGATGGGTTTAGCTGGGATATTAGGGAGAAATTCTTCCATCATTGGAGTACCAGTGAGGCACTGGCACAGGTTGCCCGGAGGAGCTATGGCTGCGCCGTGCCTGTACGTGTTCAAGGCTCGGCTGGACGGTGCTTGTGAGCAGTGCTGCAGTGCTGTCCGTTCTGACGGGTGCCCGACTCTCCGGGAATTCCCGGTCTGCTTCCCGGTTTTCCCGGCCCCGGCTGCCTCAGGCCTGCCGCGGGCTCCGCCGCCGCCAGGGGGCGCCGCGGGCGCGGCGGAGGGAGCCGCCGGGGCGGTGACGCGCCCCTCCCGCCAGCCCGCCACTGCGGCCGCAGCACCGCTCCGCCCTGAGGGGCAGCGCCGGCTCCTTCCGCCGGGGGAGGGCTGAATGGCGCTTTTAAATTACTGCTGACACCTCTGTCCCGGCTCCCTAAAATCTCAATCAACAAGCCATTAGAACTCAACGGGAGTAAAACTAAATCCTCGTTTAAGTGTATTTATCCGCTCTCTTTTCTCTCTTTCAAATGCTAAATCCATTTCAGCATATGCCCCTTCTTTCTCTCGCCTTTCTCTAAAGACTGGCAGGCCGCACTACTCTTGTAAATATGAAAGATGCTAATCATATGACATATCACGTCTCAGTCGGAGCCTGGAATAAAGCCTTGAGATTTGGGATCATTGCCTCCAGACAACAGCTTCATCAGCCGGAAAGTTGGGTTTTTTTCTCCTTTCCTTCAACTCTCAATCCCTTCTTTGTCTGAGGGAAAATGCAGCCAACTCGAGCCACCCCGGCCATATGGTTCACTCTGTGTTTTCTTAGTTGAATCCTGAATTGTTTGTGACTTGCGAAGGGTTTTTTTTTGGGGTTTTTTTTTTTTTTTTTGGAAGTGTGTATAAAGACATAGAAGAGGCTGCCCGCACCAGGGCAGCTCTGCAGGATAACTCCATGTTCTTCACGTGTTCGCTTTCAGCCACCTCACCACACAGACAAAAAAAGTATAAACCTGCAGACGCGCTTTATACCAATAACCTGTTACAGGTATCTGGTATTCTTCCCCTTCTGGGCAAAATATCCAGGTGTTTTCCCTTTTCTGGATGGAAATTCCTTCTTGAAGCACCATTTGTGTCTTTACTCAGCTCCATAAAATAGTTGTTGCTCACTGGCAAATCCCTTCTAGAAATGCCTTGACTAAGAGAAGCCTCTGAGTGTTTTGAGTAAGAAAAAGTGGCTTTTTAGACCTGGATAAATTAGGAGCCAAGTGAGTTCGGCACACCCAAGTTTGGCTATCCCCCTGCCAAATTTTCTTTCTTTCCTTACACAAACCCCCTTGGCCCCCCCAAAAGGCCCTTTCACCAAACCATTAAATTCTACAGAGGTGGTCAAGCTAGTCCTGCTTTTCAGGCGTTCGAGAAAGAAAAGGGTCCTTGAAGTTTAGAAGATGCCCAAGGAAAACTCATTGAATGACATCAAAAGAATGAGTTTCCATAGCTGTTGAAGCACGAGAGCCGTGTAGCTGCACAAAGGCGGGTTGGGGCAGTGGGACTGTCCCACTGCTCTATCCCAGCACAATTGGGTCACTGAAATAGGGAATTAATTACCATTGGAGAGTGGGCAGCCCATTCACCACTGGCTGAGTTTTATTAAACGCCAATATAAATAACAAAACAACTCTTGTGGCTGCACTATTCCTACACGCCAAAGGAAGGATTATGTTGGGGATTAACATCTTAAAGTCTATGAGACTTTCTGACTCAAGGCTCGGAGCTGGTAATCGTATTTGTCTCCTGGTTCAGCGATTAGTGCTCTCCCTCGCGCACCTTCGCCTGGATGGCCAATGTCCCTTTTTGCAGGCACTGGGTTTTTCACACAATCGGCTGTTCTTTTCCCCACATCTATAGAAAAGAATAAGAAAACTGAAGCGTGTTCACGCGATCCTCAAGCTTCTTCTCTTCTTCATGGGAAAGGAAGGCACCGGCAGCCTTTTTTCACAAGGGGGGGCGAGGCAAACCCTCTTGGTGGGGCGGGGGGCCAGGACTGCAAAATCGCTCCGCAGGCCTGCACCTGCCATGCAAATCCGCCGGGAACAATCGGCCCCCGACGAGGGCCGGCCTGGGGGGAGCCAGAGAAGGATGCCGGGACAGTGCTTATGGGGGGACCCCTTGCCTTGATCCCAGAACAAACCCCAAATGTGCTAATACAGCTTGGGAGTTGGGGGGCTGCTCCTCATCTTGTCCCTGGCTGTGGCACTTCTTGCACGGGGTGTTCGGGGAGGACCCGGATCAGGATGTGGGGGATACACCCCCCAGCACTTTTGATTGCTTCCCCCCACAGAGCACCCCGGTTCTCTGCTGTGTGGGGACATACTCTCACACCCCATTAAAGAGCAGAAACACCCCACTCTCAGGGTTTGTAGGTGCTGCCCAGGCCTGCACACCACAAGGATTCAGGGCACCCTGGTGTGTATGGGCAGCCCTGGGACCCCGAACCCTCAGGACACTGCAGGATATGAGGGAGGCAGAGCTGGGAGGGGGTCAGGCCACCCTGTCCCCACAGCTTTGTCCCCACATTTCCCGGGATGTCATGGCCCTGTTCACCTGAGGCAGGCTGGCCATTAACGCCGGCTCTCAACTTGTGAGGTCGAAGTGTGGATGGGCTGTGCCCAAAGGTCTCTCAGCAACACAGACCCTAAACTTTTAGGGCTATCGGGTCGCCTCAGAGTTCAATCTTCTTACAGCAAACAAAGCCCTTCTGAAGGTCTCCCCCTCTCCCCCACACGAGCTCAGCATCCTTTATTTCTGGGCTGTGTGATAAGCTTAAATCATTGTGCTCCCATTTCTTGATCGTTGCCTACTCTGGGCTATTGTTCCCCTAAAGTAGGATTGAGTCTGGCAAAGGGGCTGAAGTTGAACAGTTTGACCCTTGGAGGACAGTTCAGGCGGTGGGCAGTGGCAGCAGCATTCCTGCTCCTGATCCCACTCCCTCTCCCCCCGCCACCTCCTCTCCCCACCGCTCTCGGCTGAGCAGCTCTGCCCACAGACCACACAAGCGCCTATCGAGAGCAGTGAGGATTTGGTAACCGACCTGTCCGTGGTCACCTTGTGCTCAACCCCACGGAAAAAAACGCTGCATGGCAGCAGGAATGGGACTGAACCCCAGAGTTTCACAGAGTCACAGAGGTACTGATTGAGGCACCCGCCTGGCCTCAGTCTCTCCCAAAGATCATACACCCAGAGTGAGGGATTTCTTTGGCTGTGAGTTCCTGCTGTGCTGAGCACAGCTTCTGCAGAGGTTTCAGCTCTTTCATAAATGTTGAGCTTTTCTAGCAGTTGCAAACAAAATTCTGTTTCAAAGCCCAACTCCCCCAAAGTGCCTTGCTGACGGTGTTTCCATATGGACTGGAGAGTGTTCTGGGGTTTCGGTTTTGTATGTTCTCACTGTCATTCCTTTGACAAGGGGTTGGAGTGACAGGCAAGAGGGGACAGCTTCACGCTGACAGAGGGCAGGGTTAGATGGAATATTGGGAAGAAATTCTTCCCTGGGAGGGTGGGCAGGCCCTGGCACAGATTGCCCAGAGAAGCTGTGGATGTCCCGTCCCTGGCACTTTCCAAGGCCAGGCTGGACAGGGCTTGGAGCAACCTGGGATATTGGAAGGTGTCCCCAGGGGGTCTGTGGAGCAAAGACAGCCTGCCGACTCTACGGGGATGTCACCAGGCTCTGCCATTGAGGGAGGGCTGGAAGGGAAGAGGGGTGAAAGGAATGAAGGTTTTCCTAGTGCAAGTTGCTGTTTAGGGTTTTTTTATAAGATCTCCTCCAGCCTGTGAATTATATTTGACAGCACTAAGCTGCTCGGAGCGCAGGGCGTTCTCCCACTTCGGGCTCACCGCATTCCCGGAGCATCTCCCCAGCAAACCACGTACGGAAGGAACTACGCACCTCTACCAGAGCACCAAGTGTCCCCAGGAGGCGAAACCCTCCCGGGAATGAGAGGGCTTGGAAGGGGAACCCCCCCCCACACCCCCATCCCTCCGTGCCGGGGCCGTGAGGGAGAGCGGCTGAAAGGGAGCCGGCCCCGGGCGCGCGCGTGGCGCGCGGGGCGCGGGGATTGGCCGGCGCTGCGCCTCGCGCCCCCCCCCGCCCTGTCCCCATTCATTAATAAATTAGCGGCACGCTCCAGCCGAGCGCGAGGCGCCAATGGGGCCCCGCCGGGGCGGGGGCGGCGGCGGCGCCCCCGACAAGAGTCGCGGGCGGGGCGGGCAGGGCGAGGGGGACCCCGGGGGTAGGTTTGATTGTTCCCCGCGGGGTATATAAGGGGTGTTAAGGAGGGTCGTGTGCCAGACACGCAGCCTGACCGGGCCCCGGGCGCCGCTCCCGCCGCCGCCCG